ATTTGATGAACTCTACATATCCTTCATAGGAAATATGTCCTCAAAGAAAGTTGCATCATTTGACTCCATAATCGTACCAACATGCATGTCGGATACCACAGATTTTATTATCAAAAATCTATAGCCAATGCTATGAAAAGCATAGCCCGGAAGAACACAATCCACGGTTTTTGGTCCAAGCTTGCGCTTCTTAGGAATTGGTATATTGACTTTCGCCAAACAATCCCAAGTACGTAGGTAAGAGAGTTTCAGTCTTTTCCTTTCCCATTCCTCAAATGGAGTCATGGTCTTATGCTTTGTGGGAACTCGGTTTAGGACATGACACGCAGTCATTAGCGCCTCCCCCCACCATTCCTTGCAGAGACCCGATGTGTCTAACATGGTGTTAACCATATCGGTTAGAGTTTGGTTCTTTCTTTCGGCTACCCCATTTGACTGAGGTGAGTAGGGAGGCGTCCTCTCATGGATTATACCATGTTCCGCACAAAATAGATCAAATTCATTGGAAAAATACTCTCCACCATGATCGAACCTAAGCCGTTTAATTTTTTGATCAAGTTGGTTCTCTGCCTCAGCTTTATAGTTTTTGAAGTTAAAGCCTCATCTTTTGATTTCAGAACATACACATAACAATATCTAGTGGAGTCATCAATCAACATCATGAAGTATCTCTTTCCACCTTTTGTCAACACGCCATTCATCTCACAAAGATCAGAATGTATAAGCTCTAGTGGCGCCAAGTCTCTTGCCTCTGCAGTCTTATGTGACTTGCGAGGTTGCTTAGCTTGCACACATACTTGGCACTTGGAGCCTTTGACAGTAGAGATTTTCGGAATTAAATTCATATTGGCTAGCCGCGTCATGCAACATTATTAATAACTTTAGTGCAAATATTTGACAAAGACAGGTGGAACAAGCCTCTGCTCTCATAGCCTTTTCCAACAAATTGTCCATACTTAGAAATTATAACTTTATTGGACTCGAAAACCAACTTAAAACCATCTCGGCATAAATGGGAACTGCTAACGAGATTTTTATTGATGGACGACACATGATGAACGTTCTTCAGACGCACGGTCTTCCCCGAAGTAAACTTCAGATCAACCGTACCGACACCTTGAACAATGGCATGTGACCCGTTCCCCATCAGCACGGGAGAAGTCCATGTGGCCTGGTAAGAAGAAAACATGGAGGCGTCAGCACAAACATGTACATTGGCACCGGTGTCAATTAACCAATCAGGGGATTGAAATACTGAAAGGATGGTAGGAAAAATACCGTACCCTGATTCCTTCATATCAGTATCACCGATGAGAACATTAGCGGACTTGCCGCTCTTCTCATGTTCACGCTCCTCAAAGCGGTTAGGACATTTCGGAGCCCAGTGATTAGGGTCACCATAGACATGGCAAAGTCCCTTCCCCTTATGAGAATTCTTCTTGAAGTTGGTAGAATATGACGGCTTGTTCTTTGCATCAAACTTGCATTTGCCCTGAGTTTTGTTCTGGTTATTTTTAAACTTGTTGGGCTAGAAGTTCTTCTTTTGTACCATGTGGGCACTAGAAGCTCCCTCAGCAACTCGAGCACATGTGTCTTTTGCTCTCGCCTTCTCTTCAACATCAAGAGTACCAATGAGATCCGCAACGGAAAACTCATGTCTCTTGTGTTTCAGGGAAGTAGCAAAATTGTTCCACGAAGGTGGAATCTTGGCAATGATGCCTTCGGCAACAAATTTGTTCGGCAACACACACTTGAAGTACTCAAGTTCTTTTGCGAGCGACTGTATCTCATGAGCCTGCTGTACAACAAAGCGCTCATCAGTCATCTTGTAGTCATAGAATTGCTCCATGACGTACAACTCGTTGCCGGCGTCCGAGGCACCAAACTTGGCCTCGAGCGCATCCCACATGTCCTTGCCGTTGTCAAACGACATATACGAATCCACAATGGAGTCATCCAGAACACTCAGAAGAGCGCCTTTAAAGAGAGTATCGATCTTCTCAAAAGCTTCCAGCTGTGCTGGATTAAGATCGCCCTCAGGCTTGGCCTTAGTGGCGTCATAGCAGCACATGGTCTGAAACCAGTAGACTACTCTCGTGCGCCACCTCTTATATTGCACCCCCTTAAAGGCAGGCGGCTTCAAATGCGCAGCAAAACCACTCGGAGTAAATTGCCTATAATCAGGTTTTTGAATTGTTGGAAATATGAGCAAATTGCTACGAGATTTAATCCGAATAAACAGAAGGTAAATCATGATGACAATAGCAGAGATTAAACTAATCATGCGAACTAGCATAGTAGATAAACAGATCACATCTAGGGCGCATACTAGAAACATGAATTATACCATGATCTCGAACAGGAAGGATAGAATCACATACAGTGCAGCGGGAGCAGCACCACCGGCGTTGATGTTGTCGCCCATGTCGTCGAGGATGAGGTTGCCGAGGTCGGGGAAGAAGTCGTCTTTGGTGAAGTCGTCGCTGCCAGCAGTCGCGCGAGTGCGCTCCCCAAAAACCTGATCGCCCCTCTCCCGTACAGGATCACGAGAGGCGGGGTTCCGGAGGCCTGCTGTCCCTTCTCCCGGTGCACGCCGAAAGGAGGGATGGAGAAGACTTGCTTGGCGGCGCAATGATCTGGAACGGTGGTGCGAACCATATGAAGCGGCGGCGGCTAGGGTAGACGTCTGCCTGACTATATAGTGCACGCCGAAAGGAGGGATGGAGAAGACTTGCTTGGTGGCACAATGATTTGGAACGGTGGTGCGAAACCATACGAAGCGGCGGCGGCTAGGGTAGACGTATGTCTGACTGTATAGTGCGGGCCGGGGTAGATCGTGGGAGTAAACCCCACGTCCGAGCCGTCACGATCCAAAAAAATCGGAAACGGTTCAGTAATTAACGCGTCCGTTAATTATTAATTAATGACTCATTACTCATTAATTTTCCCCGAGCAGCAAAAATATAGACAACGTGCATAGCTCTGTCCTCGGCTCGACTCAATCCCGCGGCGCGGCGAGCGAGGAGGAGGAGCGCGCGTGTAGATCTCCTCTTCTCATGCTCATACAAGTGGTAGAAGAGCTCACCTTATAAAAAGGTGCAAGTCTCTCTCAACTTTCGTGGTGGGACTAAACTCTCTCACTCACATGTGTGCATGAATGGGCCAAGAGAATTTCAAAATTTTAGTTGGGCTTTGGGCCAAAGGCCTATTAGCAAAATTCCAACAATAAGCACATTGATGTGTATAGTAGGGATCTGATAAAGGAGCTGAGACAAAACAATGTCAACCTCGCACCTTTGTTCTCAAATGCTAGGATTAGCTTAGGCCAAAAAATGTCAACCTTGCAGTGCAGCTGCTCATGTTCGTTTGCCTCAACAACTAGATGTCTCCTTCTGTTGGAAAGGACTCGGTGAAGCAACTGTGTTTTATTGCCCTAGCTAGTTGTGTTTGGATTAGTTTAGTACTCCACGCTACTTTATCACTTTCTAGCATGTACTGTTAATTTGTAGTTTCAGTGGATCATCTGCTATGCTGATGTGTCGTCGTGGTAATCATTTAGTCCTCATTATCAATGAATATTTCTAAGTATCTCGATTTTGTAATTAGTCTACTGAAAATATTTCTAGTTATCTCAATTCTCCAATAAGTCCACTCACTTTGACTAGTCATATCACTAGGCCACAAAACCACAAAATCAAATGCCTCATGCAGATGTACAACCGGCTACACAGTTGAGATCGACGAGGTACATTTTTCTAGCACCGTTGGGTTCGTGGTTTGTGGATGGCTGGTGTGGTGTGATTTCCTCCTTCGACATCTAAGTCGTGATGGGTGCCAGATCTCGAGTTCGATGGCGTGTCCGATGTATTGTCTCGGTTTGATTCGTTCAACGACAATGGCTTCACTTTTAATGAGTCACCTTAGAGGTCCGCAAAACTGCATATCATCGACTGAGCCGCGTCGAGCTCAGGAGAGGAGGTGATCCGTCATTCTTTTCTTTGGTGGCTGCTGTGGTGGTGCTGGAGGCAGGTGACGGGCGTTGGTGTTAATTTCGGAGATGTTATGCTATCTTTTCAGTTTTGTCATGTCGGTTCTTACGTGATTTGTATTTTGTTCTTTATAACATGAATGAGACACGTATTATCATAAAAAAATAAAAATCAAGGCAAAGTACGTGCATGTTGATCGAGTACAACCGATGGTAAATTACATGCATGTGAGTTGAGTACATCGATTCGTCGCTGAATGTCATGCCGAAACTTAATACGGATTCAAGAAGGCGTGCGGCACAAGGCTATCCTTGAAGAGGTAGCAGTAAACCGGTGTGCCATTGACAAATTCTATCTGCTTTATGATCCTCTTCTCGGTAAGATTGTACAGCGCCTTGAAATTATTTAGGTAGCTTGCCACGAAGACGACGTTGGGGGCGCCGGTGCCCGTCCACCAATGTGGAGAGAACCGCGGCGGCAGGACGATCCGGAAGCGGTGTAACCAGCTCTGGTCGTCGTCGTAGTCCTCGAGCACCCATAGCTCCGTGGTATCTCCATCGAATTCAGGGGCCGTCACGGCTAACGTACCGTCCAACTCCAAGAGGCAGAGATCTTCGTTGCGGTAGTGATCCCTCGGCCACGGCGGGCGCGATATCAGCCGGAAATCCTCGGACACCGTGTCGAACGCCAGGATCTTCTCGGCGCTTCTGGCCAGAGGATGGATCGTCCAGTGAATTTTGCCCCTGTGGTGGGCGTAGTGGTTGATGAAATAGGCGACCTCGTCTACGACTACACCGTCGGCCACTGGTCCGAGACGGCGAGGAAGTTGTGAGCTGGCGGTGACGGCGGCGGCGAGAGAGTAAACATAGTGTGCCGGCAAGCCAGGTTTTAGTTCATTGGCGAGAACAAGAAGCCGGTGCTCGCCGGACGGGCCGTGGCGGTAGAATCCGCACAGCCTGGCCACGTCGGGGCAAGAAGGTGGCTTCAAGTCCAACCTAGCCCCCTGCTTGGTCACCGGGAATCGGACCTGAACAAACTTTCACGGGATTTCTGGAACAATAGGAGCCCGTCGCAGCAACCCAGCAGGGCGCCAATCTCACAGTGCTTGGGGCAGTGGAGTTGGCTCCGGCGCCTCGTCAAATCGTCGAGTTGCAGAGAGAGCGGGATGGTGTCTAGAAAACATGGTTCTCCTCTTGATCCGACGAGCAGCTCGGCAGGCCGCCGGTCGGCGTGGGCGGCGAGGAACGAGGGGTCCGTTGTGATGCGGTGCCACGCCTTGCACACGACTCGGGAACGGAGCACGGAGGCGGACGGCAGCCTCAGCAGGATCTCTGTCACCACGTCGTCGTCCAGAGTCGTGTCTTCGGTAACACTTTCGCCCGGCTGCAACATCGTATCGATCATCGTCTGTATTTCTTTCCTCGTATATTACATACATATATGTAGATCTTTGTAAAAAAACGTATATGTAGATGTGCAGCCAGCTTGACCTGAATAGTTTGTCCGGTTCGAATTGACTTTTCAGTAGGAGTCCGGATTGAACTGTTAGCGTGTGCCGGTTCGAAGTAACTTTGCAGCGGAGTAGAATTCGATTAGAAGATGCTTTCATCGCATGTATGCCCCCAAGTTGCTGACGGCCGATGGAAGCAAAGAGGATCCGGTCGGTGGGAGCGCATCTGCACATGAGCCGATTTGGTCCAACGAGCATGACCGTCGCACCCTCCCAAATGAAAGGATCCGCGAAGTGCGCAAAGGGAGTTACAAATCCTACTAGTGTAAGCGACGGAAAGATTCTGAAAGTTGACCTTTGCTTCGAATCTCCAACGCTGACCTGCAAACTGAACACCGCATCCGTTCATCGACAGAGATCAGTCCGCTGACACGGTTGCGAAATCCTGTCATCCAATGATATCTGCATACATTTCAAACCGCGTTTCAACTAACTGGACATTGATGCAAACTGGATGATATTCATATAAACCGGAGCACACTCACTACATTTCAAACAATTTCATTAGGGCGAGGGGGTTCATCCGTCATCTGCGGGAGAATATCAGGTGCTCCCGAAGCACCTAAGCTTAGGTGCTCTGATGCGACCTCGACCGTTGGGTCGTGATCCAATGGGCGGCTTCATGGGGATGTGGACCAAAGCATTTTTTCAGGAATACTTGGGGCGTTTTTTGTAAAACATTCATGTTGCATTTGTCTTTTTTGTTTCTCAATGTGTATTTGGAATTTAATTCAAAAGATTTAGGGATTGTACACTCATGTGATGTGAACATCCACAATTTTTTTGGAATTTTTGAAACATTTAGATGCGCATTTTGAAAATTTGGAGCATGGGAGCACCAAAATGGATGGGAGCACTAGATATTCTCCTCGCCATCTGCATGAGCGAAGACAATAGGAACCGCGAAGTGATGATGTGGTTGCCGGCATGGAAGAATAGAACATGGCAGAAGGAGCGACCCACTTGGGACACAAGGCCCTCCCACTTCCCATGCCAAGCACCTCCGCCGCCTTCTGGCCATTCCTGACGGGTAAACGCTAGCCAGATCACTGTTTAGTTTTTGCTAATGATCCCTGGGTCACTGACATGTGGGCCCAGACGCCCTAATGACTTTGGTTAAGTTAACTAAAATCACTAACTAACACTGTCAATTAAATAAGTCACTAACCAGTGGGCCCCACTGGTCAGGTTTGACGGGTGACACGGTGTTGATGCATTGCTGATGTGATAAAAGATTTTTCTGGTATTTATATTTCAGAAATGGTTTTATAAATTCCATAAAATAGCTTAATTTTTTTAAAAAAACATAGAAATTAAACTATAACTCATATTGAAATAATTTATGTATGAAAAATGATCAGAAAATTCCAATCGTTCCATCTGTACCATTTGCATGCATGTTTGAACAACTTAAAGTTGCCGGATAGGGCAATTTAAATGAATGGCATTTAAAATGCCTAATGTGGAGCTTGAATTTGAACCTTGGGTTCAATTCAACTTCATCTAAATCTGTTGCTAATTCAACTTCATATGTTGCATTTGCCATGATTCGAATGTTGTTCCCTTGTATGCCGGTGTTTGTTCCTTCTCAGTAAAATACGATTCCTACATAGTGACCGTTGACACCGATGAAAAGCAGTACTATCTTTAGAAGTGCCAGGCAAGCAAACCCCTTGATCATTCTGATACAATATCACTCTCTCGCTCCTGCTCTCTTTATTGCATTAGGAGAAAACATTTCAACTATTACTTGTTACGGTAGTTGAATCCATTCTTTTGCATGACCTTTCATTGTCACAATAAATAGCTAAACCTTCCTAGCATGATTAGACTTCCTGGAGCCATGTTGTGACTTCCTCCAAGACATGCCTGCTATTGCTTAGAGTTGTTTCAGGTCTGATTCATATGGAATGAATTGGAATGGTGTGTGTAATGCCCCGAGACCGATGCTTCAGACACCTTCCATGTTTTTCGAGCTCGTCGTGTGTGCTTCATTTGTTTGTTGCATTTCATCGTTGCATCATCCGCATTGCATCCGCATGTTTTCATAAAACTTGCATCCGCTCGTAGTTGCCGCTTAACGCTTCTCTCCGTTGCGTCCGTTGACCTTTCTTAGACCAGCCATTCATTTGTCGTCCGACCATTTAAGCCTCTCTACACAGCCACCGACCACCTCCGCAACCTAGTCCAAAAACTTCTCCCGGACCCGACCCGGGCGGTCATGACCAGTGGGTCCGGAACAATCCCGAGTTATCCTAAACATCATCCGTTCTTTGTTGGACTCCCCTAAGCCATTTATCTTTGACCGTCCGATTTCAATCGGAGGAATGGATTGACCCCTACCTAAAAATCCAGTTGCTATATATAAGACCATCACCTACCAAATCTACCCCAACCCTAACTTCTAGGAGATTTGTCCCTGCCGCCGTCACACTCATCTCCCACCTCGGGATCCTCCCAGATCCCCTTCGCTCCAACCAGCCACAGCCTCCTTCTTCCTCGATCTCCCCTGGCACCCAATCCCATCGACCCATCCTTCCATCGATCTCCATCGCCAGATATCCCCACGGACCTCCTTCCCGAGCCGCAGCCACCCCGCAGCCATCCAACCTCACTGCTGCTGTACCTCGCCGTCCTTTCTCCCGCTGGTGTTCTTCCCGAGGACGCCAGCCGCCATCCTCAACCACCTTGCGTCGCCGTCGGCCGCAAGCAGCTCCCCAGCAGATGAGCCCCGTCGCGCCCTCTCGTTCCTCTGTTTTTCCTCCTCTCAGTATCTCATATCTCTCTCGTTCTCTCTCTGTACAGGATGCAGTGTCACCCATGGCCTTGTCTCCGGCCAGAACGAGCCTCCCCGTGCTCCTCCACCTCGCCTCCTCGGGCCCCCGCGCCTACTGCCGGCCAGCCACGGTCAGGTCGCCTCGCCTCCTCTCGCTCTCACTCCGGCCCTCTCTCTGTCCCTGCCGCTTGTCTGAATTATCCCTGCCATGGCCCTGCAGTTCCTGCCCGCCTTGGAGCTCCCTTGCGCCGCCGGATCCAAGACCCCCTCGCCCGGACCTGCCCGTTCCCGGCGCTCGCTTCGCCGTCAGCCACCCGTCGCCGGAGTTCCTGGTCGGCTCGCGGGCCGACCTTCAAGTCCCACGCCGCCGCGGCTCCCCCACTTCAACCGCTGCTACCTGCTTCGCTCGGTCAAGCTGTGTGTTGACCTCCAGCGCGTCAGCCCTGTGTGTGCTTCCTCTCAAGCCGCAGCACCCCAAGGCCCAACCGCGGCCTGCCAGCTCCTCCACCAACCGGCCCATGCGGCCTGGTGAGCACCCAGATCCAGTGCCCTCTCCTGTACACATTCGGGCCAGCCAGTTTCAGCCCATGCCGTGTTTTTTTAGCGTCTGCGAATTTTCCTATTATCCAGAAAACTGCACATTTACAGAAGACCCCTTGCTCTTCATGCATATAAAAAAACTCATTAACCATGCATCGGATTAAAACAAATTATATATGTAAAGTTCTTAGAATTTCATCTAGTTTTATAATATGCCACTTTTAACCATGTTTAATATGTTTAAATTGCTGTTTGCATTAATTTGCTAAAATGCCATGTTAAAATGATTTATTTCATAACTAATTAACCGTAGCTCCGATTTTAATAAACTTTATATGTAAATGGGGTGGAAAAATGCCTAGTTTAACATGGTCCACTTTATTTTCCTGTTTAACAACTTTAAAACATGTTTTAGGGCAGAACAGTACCAAAACTAGAATATGGACATGAGGATTTCCCGGAATTGTTGTTTGTTGTTCCGGCCTCATTTAAACTTGCCTAGATAGGTAGTTTTCTTATGCTTCACCCCTTGTCATGTTTAACAACATTTATTGTTGTTGGGTACATAAACAAGAGAGAACTAAATAATTGATGTGGTGTTTCGTCAATATGCAACTCGTTGCATATTGAGCTCCACTTAATTTGTAGTGTTGTTTGTTGCACTTTGCCATGACATGCCTCATTAAACCGAGCATCATACTTGTTTGTGCATCATGCCATGATTATGCTTGTGTGTTTACCATATTGTTTGCTTCTTTCCGGTTTGCTTCTCTCGTTAGCTTCGGTTTCGTTCCGGAGTTGTGAGGATTCGTTCGACTACGTCCGATCATCTTCTTCATGGACTCGTTCTTCTTCCCAGCGGTATTTCAGGCAAGATGACCGCTACCCTGGATCTCACTACTATCATTGCTATGCTAGTTGCTTCGTTCTATCGCTATGCTACGCTACCTATCATTTACTCTTCAAGCCTCCCGGATTGCCATGAACCTCTAACCTTTGACACCCTTCCTAGCAAACCGTTGTTTGGCTATGTTACCGCTTTGCTCAGCCCCTCTTATAGCGTTGCTAGTTGCAGGTGAAGTTGAAGTTTGCCCCATGATGGACATGATTATGTTGGGATATCACAATATCTCTTATTTAATTAATGCATCTATATACTTGGTAAAGGATGGAAGACTCGGCCTTATGCCTGGTGTTTTGTTCCACTCTTGCCGCCCTAGTTTCCGTCATACCGGTGTTATGTTCCCGGATTTTGCGTTCCTTATGCGGTTGGGTGATTTATGGGACCCCCTTGACAGTTCGCTTTGAATAAAACTCCTCCAGCAAGGCCCAACCTTGGTTTTACCATTTGCCTCACCTAGCCCTTTTTCCCTTGGGTTTCCGGAGCCCGAGGGTCATCTTTATTTTA